CAAGACGGCTCCATCAAGAATGAGATGGGCCATGGGTCTATGGAGAGGCTGTCGGTATCTTACCCCGCCATGTTTAATCCTGGTAAACAACCCTAATCGGACTTCTCATGGCTCTCTGGTTAGCTACTTTAAATGTGCGGGGCCTGAGGTCCGAGTCTCGCAGGGCGAGGCTCTCTCGTGACCTTCAGCGCCTCGGGGTGAATGTTTGTTGTGTGCAAGAGACCCGGTTTTCTTCTCATGACTATGAGGATATACTGTCTAAGGGGTTCGCCTTTATTCAGCATGTTTTGATGGTCGTTCGAGGGGTGTCTCTTGGCTAGTGAGCAAGTCTTTGAAGGCTGCATGTTCCCTTGTCTTCGCAGATCCGGCGGGCAGGCTTTGTGTGCTGGATGTTACTATAAAGGATAAGGCTTTACGTCTCATTGGGGTTTATGCGCCCAATAGTCATACTGAGCGGCCTGCTTTGTTTCGGCAGATCGAGCCGTTTTTGACGACTTCTCGTCGGGTAGTCTTAGCGGGGGGATTGGAATGCCGTCCTTGACCCTGAGATAGATCGATAGGTAAAAACCGGTACTAAAAATCCTGATGTGAAGGCATTTCAGGACTTTATCGGCAGGTTTGATCTTGTCGATAAATACCGGAATGAGCACCCTCAGGAGGTAGCATGGACTTGGACAACTAGTGGCGACTTCGGCTCCTGGCTCGCTTATGAGCTACCTGGACCGAGTGTTAGTTAGGAGAGTCGACGTAGGGCTCTTAGAGTGTCCAAGTTTCCACTATATAGTTTATACGGATCATAGGCTTGTCCGGGTCCGTGTAAACTTAGATAAACCTAAGGTTAGAATGGCTGGTTACTGGAAATTTAACTGTTCACTTTTTGGTGAGCAGGATTTCCGGGACCAGCTGCTACTAATGATTCAGAGGGAATTGACGGGGCGGTTGTGGGTAATGCCTGGTGGGGAAAATTAAAATCAAAAAATTAGAACGTTTGCTGCCGATTTTAGTTGTCGACTCAATCTAGATAGACTAGCGGCGCAAACGGCATTAGAAGATAAAGTTGATCGGGCCGTCAAATCCCGTGTTAGTGGGGACATAGTCTTAGCTAAAGGCAGAGTTGGCCTCCTTGCTTATCAAGAAGGATCAAGCTCTGGTAGTTAGGGCTAGGCTAAAAGAATGTCTTCTGAGGCGACGAATATGGCCGCAGAATTGCGCCGCAGAGGAAAATCGAACGCGGATAAGCGACATATAGCGTGCGTCACATTGCCGGATAAGTGGACCGTGACTACAAGCGCGGGCATATGCGAGGCCTTTCGGCTTTACTTTCAGGATATTTTCACCAGGGAGCCCGGTCTGAGCTCTGCTCAGTTCGATGCCTATTTGGCTGACTTTCCCTGCCTTGAGGCAGCTGAAGGCTAGGTGCGAGGGTCCCATAACAGAGTCGGAAATCTGGGATGCGCTGAAGCAGGTTGGCCTGGATAAGTCTCCGGGACTAGATGGACTTCCCACGAAGTGTACTTGAGGCTGTCGCCCGTTTTTGTTCCTTTGCTGCAGCTGATTTACAACCACTGGATGAGGCAGGGTCTTTACCTCGACGCTTCACCAGGGGTGTGATCTGTTGTTGCGTAAGGACAAGAACGGTGGGGATGGGTTAGGGAACTTTCGCCCTTTGACGATGTTAAATACTGACTTAAAGATTTTGGCGAAGATCTTAGCCAACCGTTTGCAGCTTGTCCTGTCTCGTCTGATTGGCCCCGAACAGACTTGTGCTGTGAAGGGCAGGGACGATTCAGGATAACCTTCATATGGTATGCTTGATCTTAGAACAAGTCGACAGTGAAGCCGCGCTGATCAATTTAGATCAGTCCAAGGCCTTCGATAGGGTTGACCATCGGTTTCTGGAGGCTGTCCTGTCGGCGCCGGTTTCGAGCCGACTTTCGCTCCTGGATCCGTCTCTTGTATGCGACCCCGATGCGCTGGTGGAAGTGAATGGGGTGAGGTCGGAGCCTTTCGTATTGTCTCGCTCCATTCGTCAAGGTTGTCCGCTATCGCCCTTGCTTTACGTTCTTGCATTGGAACCATTCCTTCGCAAGTTAAAGGCGAATCCGGTCCTGCGCGGAATTTCCCTGCCTGGCGCTACCACCTCGGCCAGGTATTCTGCCTATGCTGACGACGTTTCGGCTCTTGTGTCGAAAGCAGAGCCGAGATTGACAAAGTCAGCAAAGAAATCAGTGGGTATGAGATGGTAACAGGGGCCAGGATCAACCGCGATAAGTCTGTGGGCTTTGCGGTTGGGTGCGTGGAAGGGAGTTTCTCTTCCGGACCTTTCCTCTGGACGGATGGGCGATCAAGATACTCGGCGTCTGGTTCGGTCCTGATCTCCAGTTGGAAATGAACTGGTCGGAGGTACAAGGGAAGGCCGAGGTCGCGGTTAATCTGTGGTCTCGGAGGAGACTTTTCCCTGAAGGGAAGGGCGGAAGTGTGTTTTTCACATCTATCCGATCCTCCTCTACCGACTCTCTGTGCTTCCACTCCCGTATGCCCGGCTAATGTCATTAGTCCGGACCTTGTTCTCTTTCTTATGGAAGGGCAAGGCCCCCATGGTATCTCGCGAGGTCTGTTGCCTCCATCCCTCTGAGGGCGGTCTGGGGATGCCTAGCATTGAGATCCGTCAATATATGCTTCGTGCATTACCTTTTTAGACCGAATGTGTCGTGGGTCGAATGAGGAGGGTGCCTTTTGGAAAGAAGACGTCCAGAAACATTTTCCATCCCTGAAAAAGTGTGCACTCGTGCGAACAAGAGGCCGGCCGTTTACCACGTGCTGAGTGCTCTTTTTTATCGTGAATGTCGTCGCGCTCTGAAGCTCCTCTTACGGGCTTCGGATGGTCTCTCCAACGCCCAGGCGTTGTCTCGCAAGGCATTATATCAAGTTTTAGTTAGGGGGTCCGTACAAGATGATCTGATTGGCGAGCTCGGTCTTACGAAGCAGGAGGCTCGCTCGATATGGCCTTGGGCGCCCGGGTTGAAATGTCTCAATAACGATGAGGCATCACTCACCTGGCTGGTGATTCGTGAAGCCCTCTGGGTCGGCAAGAGACTTTGTTCAGCAGGCTTGGAGAAATATCCAAACTGTCGTCGCTGTAATGGGGGAAGTCAAGACTATTGGTCACGCCTTCTTTCAGTGCAGGGGCGGTAGTGCCGTTCTGCAGGTTTGTTGAAGGCCTCATGGTTCGCATGCTGCATGGAAAGTTTTTTTGTCCTGGAAGCCAGTTCTGTTTGTAGCAATGTGGTGCCGCAGATGACGAAGGATGAACGTTGTTCTGTTACTAGGGGTTATGAGAGTCGTGATTTGGACGACGCGTCAGAAGGGATTCCATGAGGGCGAGAAGTTCACTTCTTCCCAACTGATCTTGTTCTTTAAGCATCAGCTTAAAGTCAAGATCAGGACGGAAAGGCGGCGGCTCACCTCATCGGAATTCAGCAAAGGTGGGTGATTCTTGCGCGAATGTGCCGAGTAAAAGGGCTGACCTTGAGTGGCATCTGGATGCCGGTTAGGCATTAAGGATATTGTTTTCCTGGGTTGAACATAGGCAACCCATCCCAGAGTTAGGTTAGATTAGGTTTTTTGTATTTTTTCTTTTAGTTTTTCTATTCTGGTAAACTTAGCTAGGGTGTATTTGCTCATTGGTCCCTTTGATTTCTGTCCCCATTTTCTTTTCCTTTAGTTTAACTCCCCATCCCCTCCCTCGTTTTTAGGTGGTCAGTGATGTCAGTTCTCTGGTAGATGCGGGGCGCTTTTCGTTTTCGTGCGTGTGTTTTTCGTACTTGTTGTTGTGTATGGATGAGTGTGTGCCTGTGTGAATGCTTGGGAAGAATGAGTGTGGCTTTATTTTTTATAAAGTCCCGCATCGATTTCGTCCGGTTAACTGATATTTCTGCCACATTCAAGAGTTTGTGGGGGTTTTATTACTAACACTAATTTTATTTAGTTTCTTGTAAATATATTTTGCCATTTTGTATATATTCATTGGGGATCATTTTTTAGAAGTTGTTGTTTTTTATGCCCCTCCCCCCACAGACAATATTTTGTAAATAAGGGGTTTATTTAGGTTTTTTCATGGAGTCAAAGAGGCATTTTGGTGTTTGTAGTAAGAAAGGTATGGATAAATGTGTTGTTTTGGTGAAAGGATTATTGTTCTGTATGATAGGGTCAGTGATTGTGGCTAGCTAAGTTTTAAGCTAAGACAAGTGATGACCGTCCTTTACCCCAACCCCCTTTTTGGCCTTGTGCCGCATTTGTACTAATGTACAATAAATAATGTTGATGAATGGGAATTTCTGCTGTTATCAACTCCGGCTTTTGATTCAAGGACTATTATATCCAGCCGAAAGAATCTCTATAAAAAGTTGCCGACCAACCAAAACCCAAAAGAGAATTTCATGGAACAAATTTGGTAAATAGAATTTTGACTAATTTTCATTGACCTAACTAAAAATTAATTTTTATCTACACACCTTTGTGGATTTCCAAATATAGCACTTAGATTACTTCACTAGCCCTAAAGTGATAAATATATTTGATTTCCCTTTCCTTCTTCCTCGTAACACTCCGCCAGTAACTCTGTGTTTTCTGTTTTGTAGGCCACAATTGTTTATCTTGTATATATTTTATGTTCTGTTTTAGTAAATTAAATATTTGTTTGTGATTTAGCTCTGTGTTGTGGTAAATCATCTTTTTCTTCCTTTGTTACAATTATCAACACATAACATCAGTTAAAGACATCTATGACACAGGCCAACATCAACCCTGAGACCTGGGAAAGTGTTGTTGCAAATCGGAACCTTCCTGGCAGAAGACCATCCAAAAAGAAAATAAATAGGCAAAACATTTAATTCGAATATGTTTGCAGCTCTTTCTCATTATCTACATATTTTAAAAAGGTCGTGAAGCCTTGTCAGGAAAAGTATGAAAAAAATTTTTTTTTTTAAAAGTATACTAACCAATGGTTGGGCTCTGGTTGGACAGTAGCAGTCAGAATGGAAGAGAAACGCCAACAGCAAGAAACGAGGCAGCTGAGCAAGCATTTCTGGAAAAAAGAAATTGATAACTTTGTTAAACAATGAACTTCTGTCACCAAAAAATACAATTCATGGTTTCTGGTATTTTAAGGATTGTCAAATGAAATTTATGAAAAGCACAAAATATCAATTTGTCAAAAATGGGTGAGTTTCAGCTGAGGCTATTTACATAAGGAAAGGCATGAAATCAATTCCCTTCTGGCAGTTGGTAGATGACAGGGTAGTACATTCTTGTAAGACAGACTAGCTAAGTGAAAGTTATTCTGACAAAAAAGGAAAGAAAAAAAAAATCATATATATATATATATATATATATATATATATATAATAATGTATTATTGTATATATCAACAAACAGTATTTAGAAAAATAGTATGACAAAAAATATTCATAGTATAATAATTAATAATAATAATAATAATAATAATATTAATAATAATAATAATAATATATAATATTAATAATATTATAATAATAATATTAATAATATTAATATAATATTAATAATAATAATAATACATAATAATAATATTAATAATAATATTAATAATAATAATTGTGTGTGTGTTGTGTGTGTGTGTGTGTGTGTGTGTTGTGTGTGTGTGTGTGTGTGTGTGTGTGTGTGTGTGTATTGTGTATTGTTATTATTATTATTAATATTCATAATATTATTATTACTATGTAATATTCATATATTATTATTATTATAATATTCATAATATTAATATTCATAATATTATTATTACTATTAATATTCATAATATTATTATTACTATTAATATTCATAATATTATTATTACTATTAATATTCATAATATTATTATTACTATTAATATTCATAATATTATTATTACTATTAATATTCATATTATTATTACTATTAATATTCATAATATTATTATTACTATTAATATTCATAATATTATTATTACTATTAATATTCATATTATTATTACTATTAATATTCATAATATTATTATTACTATTAATATTCATAATATTATTATTACTATTAATATTCATAATATTATTATTACTATTAATATTCATAATATTATTATTATTATTAATATTCATAATATTATTATTATTATTATTATTATAATTCATAATATTATTATTATTATATTAATATTCATAATAGTAGTAGTTTTTTATTACATTTTATTTCAGTTTATTTTTCCATACCCACTTTTATCTGACAAGGATTTTCCCAAAGGTTTTCTTTAATTTTTTTGTAGAATTTCTTCCCTCTTTTTTTTTTTCTCTTTCTTGTTACACTCTGATTATCTTAAATTTTATGTTTTCATCCATTTTCATATTATCATTAGCTTTATTTTTAGTATTATTTTTTATTTTTTCAGTTTTTGCAGTTTATTTTTTCTGCACCCCCCCATTATCTAACAAGGATTTTTCTAAAAGAATTCTTCCCCCCTTTTTTGTGCTATTTATTTCCTCTCTTCTTTTTTCTCTTTCATTTTACCTGTATTGAAAATCTAGCTACGTTCCACACTCGTCTTATCTCACCAAAACAAAATCTTTCAACACTAATACCACCCCGACCCCTGGTCCTACAACCTTTTTGCCTATATATTCAACATCTCACTCCCCTATCACCCACCACCATCACAAATTTTAAATTCAAGATTATTTTCACATTAAGTTTCGCACAGCAAGAAATCAAACATGGAACGAATTTTTTTTTTTTTAATAATTCCAACTACAAGTAGACTCTACCCACCTCAAAAACTAATGTTGGAAAGTTTCCACTATTCCTCTGTTTATTTCTCACATCCGCTGATGAAAAACACAGGCGTGTTTGAAAATTCCAAACTTGGAGCCTCAATCTCTGTGCTTCATTTTTGTCACCTGGTTAATATTAATAAATGTTTTCCATACTGATTACATCGATACCCTTTCATTTGATTTTGTTTTATTGACCAACTTATCTACTCTATAAACTATATGAAGGATACGTGGACTCTTTTTTGAAATATATATATATTTCTATTAAAACTATTAATTGCATTTACTGGCCTGAATTTTTGAGAAATTTTGTAGAAAATATGTATTCTCTGACAAGAGTTCGACTTTGCTAACCAGACACTGTAGCTGACTAGTACAGCACATCAGGTCAGATAATGGTTTCCATATCCGAATAGAGGTTCAATTCCTGGCAGGGAATGCATATTTTTTATGAAATTACTCAAACATTCAGGTCACTAAATGTAATTAATACTATGATGCTATTTGTCATTGCCGCAGTAAAATGGAAGAAAGTTTTGTTAAAACATGGGAAATGTTATGTACACTGGACGAAAAGTGTTAAAATCAAAAACTCATGGGAAGAAATGATTTGAATTGTATGTTGAGCAGTTTGAAAAACTGAAAAGTGACCCAGACTTGGGGGTCAATGTTGATTGACATACAGCTGCAAATACAAGCTGGAAAGCGAAAAAGTAGATTTTGGTAAACAACTGAAAATGGGACCAAGTTTTCCTGGATGGAAAATGGTTGAGGTAGCAGGCACAGATAAGACATCAAGGAGGATGGAGGAACCACAGACGCACACTGAAGAGATTGGTAAGAGAGGATAACAAAAGAGGTCAGAGAGAGCGAATTCCTCAAAGTTATGACGTAAGCTAGAGAGGATTCCCTGAAATGCTCCTACCTTGCCAGTTTGGGCAAATGTCCATGAATGTGAATGTATAAAGCGAATTGAGTAGAAGAGAGACGAGACCAGAGACGGGAGAGAGGCCCATGTGATTATCTGCTGATGAAGGCCTCCGACTTCAGCCTTGTGCCAAACTTTACCAAAGCAGCAAACTAAACTTTGCTAAGTCTACAACAATAATACCATTTCTGATTTAGACGTGGGTTGGGCTGATAATTAATTTGCATGCAAACTCTAATATAAACCAATTATTGTATGGAGGACTGATATAAAAACAGTATTTACTTTCGTTCAATTTATAAAAGTCTTATTTTTTTCCTGTACATCATCACCCTGCTTGGACTGGCCCATCATGAAGATACCTATGACAATTTGATCTTGGCTGCCTTATGATCAATCTTAAATCACAACGTGGGATAAGGTTGGCTTGGGATTGAAGCAGTCACTTCAGTGACTGGAAGTCTTGTGCAACTTGGGAGAGCATTGTATGATTACAATACTGTTTAATTAAAAACAGAGCATTTACTTAAATAAATTTTAACTTCAAAAAGAACGTATAAACAGAAAATACATTTGTCTATATTTCAAAGATGAGGTATTATGTACACTATTTACATTATTCGGACTATTGTCCTCATCTTTGTTGCTATATTTATCACAATGTTTTGGCCATTGCACGTTCCAGAAATTCATATGCAAATGTTGTTAAGGAGACATGGCACAGTAAATAAAGGCATTAGTTAGATCCAGTGACAGGACCCAAAGAGTGTGAGTTCAATACGTAGTTAAGGGCATTGGAGAACTTTCAGAGGGGGAATTAACAGGAGATAACTGATAACTGACATCCATTAGACATGGCACGTGGAACTAGAACAATCTACCCAGCAAGCAAACTAAAGGGTTCAGTTTGACATTCCAACCCCCTGAAGAAGGTCGGAGCGTACAACAGCTGAAACATTGTGATAAATATGGCAACAAAGACAAGGAAAATAGTCTGAATAATGTAAATAGAAATAAACCATGCCCTTTATGCCTACATGAAAAACTACACATTAAGTTTATAAATAATAAAAATTAATGCATAGACACGAGTTAAGTTTTTTGTCGACATCAAATTTTCACATTAATTAGCATAAAAATTTTTTTAAATTTTATGATCTAATAAAGGGTTTAAAAGCTTAACCCAATCACAAGATAAAAAAAAAACCCTTTATGAAGTCATCAAAAAAAGAAATTCTAGTTCGGTGTGATGTGTTTATGTATGAACAGCCCTTTTAGAAAAAAAAAAAAAAAAACTTCATACACTTAACGGTGTACGATGGTGCCAATAACTGTCACTAAAACAGACTAGACAATGTGCATATAGGAATGTCATCATTCGCTTTGAAATGGCCACCCTGGGCCTGCCCTGGCTTGGCCTCTTCCCGAGGGTGACTGATATGTTGATACACATTTTTAACCCTTACGCCCCCTATTGGACTGTTCGCTTCAGCCGTTACCATAGTAATTAATTCTACGAATGAATATACTTATAAAAGATGTGTAAACTTCAATATTAGTTATTCCAAAAAATTTCACTTGTGGATGAAACAGAGCTTTTGGCTTTTGCTTTTGAAACTTGAGAACTCTTATGTCATGAAGGAATCATATTTTTAAAAACTTATATATATATATATATATATATATATATATATATATATATATATATATATAGATAGATAGATATAGATATGTAAATATATATACATAGGGGCATACACATACACATACATACATGTATATTTTATGAATAAAAAATTCCAAGAGGATAGAATCCAGGTAGAACTCAATGTCCAGGACAGAGTAAGTATATAATATAAAAGGCTTAAACACTAATATTCCATGGTCATAATTTATTCCATTGGAATCGTAAATAAATCAGTCTCCTTCCACTCTTCGGCAAAATCTTCGAAGCCCTAATCAGTATCGGGGTGGTTAACCACCTCACATCCCATAATCTGCTCTCAGACAAGCAATATGGTTTCCGCTTTGCCCGATCTACAGCCGATGTGCTTACGGCCATCACTGAAACAATCTACCATGCTCTCCAAAATAACGGGGAAGCCCGAGCCGTGGCCCTAGACATCTCCAAAGCATTTGATAGGGTTTGGCATGCCAGCCTTCTTTGCAAGCTCCAAGGTTATGGCATTACGGGTCGATTATATAACCTAATACGATCATTCCTGTCAAACCGTGAATTGAAGGTCGTTCTCAACGGATTCTCCTCCAGTTCCTATCCTACGAACGCAGGTGTCCCTCAAGGCTCCATCCTAGGCCCCACTCTATTCCTTAT